CGGAGCGGGCGGGCGAGCGCGGGTGGCGGGAGCTGCGGCCGCGCACGCTCCATTGTGACGCAGTGGGCGCAGCCCGCGACTGCCGGGCCCCGCGCAGACTTGCTGCGCTCAGCACATTCGGGAGAACAATGGGCTGGGACGGGGCCGCGGCCGGGCGGCTCCTCCTCGCCCGCCGCCCCCTCCTGCTCCCCGGCTGCGGGGCGGGCACAGCGCGGACCCGCCGCTCTCTCGCCCTTTCAGCCCCAGCACAGCAAGTTTCGGGCAGAGCCGGGCGGGCTCGGAGCGCAGCTGCTTGGCTCGCAAGTTTCACTTCAAAATGTAATGGCTCTTGTCGGCGCCCGGCTGTCTCCAGGAGCGCTCCGGCCGGGACCGCTGGGGGTTTTTGGTCTGTGGAAAAAGGCAGTGCGTTGTTGTCCTATTTCTTTGCTTGTTTGTTTGTCTGTTTGTGCGGAGCAGTTGGGGGAGATGCTTCGCATCCAGTCACTCCCCTGGTTTAATCCTGTCAGATGGAGCTTGTTTCTCAAAACTTGGGGATGGCGCTGTGTGGCTGCAAAGCCCGGGTGTTGTGTTGCTGTGGAGCCGGGAGAGCTTACTCGCAATGTTTTCTCTTCTTCTGCAGGTAAAAAAAGACCAAATGGCAAAGCAACCCTCTGATTTGAATTCCAAGTGCGGCAGTGAAGACAGACAGTTGCAGCCCAGTGAAAGGCCAAGTCAGCCTCAGCCTGTTAGGCCTGGGGCCCCTACCTCTATACAAACACAGTATCAAGGTAACCTTTCAGGTGAGGGGGACGGCTCTTCACCCAGCAGCCCTCAGGGACCATTTGCGCCACCCACTAGCCCCAGTCCGTTTGCAACCAGATCCCCACTTTTCATCTTTGTAAGAAGATCTTCACTGCTGTCTAGATCCTCCAGTGGGTATTTCTCTTTCGACACAGACAGGAGTCCTGCGCCTATGAGTTGCGACAAGTCCACACAGACTCCAAGTCCCCCATGTCAAGCCTTTAATCATTATTTAAGTGCAATGGGTAAGCAAGATCATGGTAAGAAACCTTTTAGCTCATGCTTTATTTTTCTTAAATATATTTTGATTATCCCTGAGGACATGGCATTTCTTCTAGACTATATGCATATTAATCTTGAGACACCAAACTAACCAGTGTTTCAATAAGAACAAAATGTTGTGCAGGCACATGACATCAGGCCAGACTCATGAAAGACGCAGGACATACTAAGACTTGTCCTATGGTTTGGAACTGTGAGTACTGTTTGGGTGCTTTCCCAAAGAATAAGAACACCCAAAGAATAACAAAGTACTGTCCAAGTATCCTGCCTGCTTTTGGTTTCATACCATGTGGTGTATATTCTCTTGAACACAGGATTTGGACTGATGGAATGTCCCTGATAGAAAGTTCTGTATTGGACTAGTTTTAGTTATGTAAATTAGCTTAAGGTCTTGCCACGGAAACTAAGGAAGGTGGGGGCGTAGTAAGAGGTGAAGGCAGTATTGGTTAATATAGCAACAATAATTGTGATAACCACCCCCAGAAATCTTGGAACATAGTACTACGATTGGAGAAATGATTAGAAATGTACCTTGTTTCAATTCTTCACCTTGCCAATCCAGTGGTGGGCTGGGGGTGGGGAGCAGTTTACAAGTCAGACACTGTTCAGTTGTTCTGTTAACTTCTTTGCATTGACTTTTAAAGTTGTCCATACAAATCTTTCTTGGGCTGAAACTTTTGGGACTTATCTGACAACCCTTTTACACATGCTATGGAGAGAACCTGCACAGCCTTTTTTCTGTTTTTAATTAATAGGAGGAAAATAAATGGAAAGGTTTCTGATGTCAGACACCCGTTTTTTTGAGATAAGCATGGAATTGTAATCTGCATCAAAATCTTAAGTGTCACTCTTAAATTGTTTCACTGAAGTACTTGGGATATCTGCAGAGTAATTATCAAATATTTGACTAAGATTTGTGTAGTCCAGAGTTAAGGGACAGGGGTAAGTCAGAATACTAAAGGGTCTTTTCATGTACCTGTCAGCATATCTGATCAGGGTACCCAGTTTGGTGCTGTCAGCTTCTTTTGACTCGAGCACCCATATCTTCATTAGATACCCTTCAGAAAATGCCAGTTCTTAGATTTCACTTGTTTGACTACAGAAAGACAATAGAGCAATTCTTTTGTTGCAGAGAACTCAGAAAGACCACAACAGGTCAGAATTATTTTTAACACTTTAGATTCCTATTTGAAAATCTCTGGGTTGCCTTAAGAATGTTTTGCATGTTTTACAGTGCTAACATTACGTGGCACCCTTGACAGGGTCTGGGGACATCACAGGGTGCCATGACGCCTTGATTGAGAATTGCTCTTAAAACAAACTTCACTATATTCCCTAGGCATAAATTTGCTAAGATGTTTCTGCATCTTATACTAAATTTACTAAATTTGCCCAGATGTCTCCATTTAAAAAAAAAGAAGTGTGTGCATATGTGTACGTGCACATGCAAGTATATACACACGATATTGGTGGTAGGCGTTTTGTCTCCTGAGGTGAGGGCTACATCCCAGGAAAGGACAGAAGGCTCCAGGAGATGCCCCTGTTTTCCTAGATGTAGGGCTTCCCATGTGCATGAATGCTGAGAAGCATCTCTTCCTCTCTCTCCACCATCCTTTGAAGTTTCCTTGAGAGCCCACCCTCTAGTCAGGATGGAAGGGATAGGGCTTCTTTGGAACCTGTGGGTATTTCTCTTTAATCAATGGCAGGAGTTCCTTGTGGAAGATCATGCAGAGTGGTATTTCTTTCCCCAAGCCAAATAGTGGATTTAGCTGCAAGTTTCCCATCAAAATGAATTGAAATTCTGTAAATCAACTTGTCACTTTTGACAGTCTCTTACATCATTTGTGGTATGTTTTACAGATATATGGTTTAATGTAGTTCATTATTTTAAGAACTTTAGGTAAGGCTTGAACTTAAATCTTCAGAACCAGAAGGTAGAAATACCACTGTAATAAGAAACTTAACTATCACAGTTTCCTCTGTATTCCTAATTTAATTTAACCTCCTCCTCTTTAAAAAGAGAGTTTCTTGACCTCCAAAAAGTGAAGTTCCCATGTTCATATCTCAGCAAAAATTGGTTACATTGACAACTTTTTTGGTGAATAACAAACCAAAATTAAGTTTTACATGTTGCTATCAAAATATTTTCATAGGTAATGGTTGTAGTTACAGCTGCAAAGTGCTTACTGTAATATATACCCTTAGGAAAGATTTTCTGACATTATTGCCATAATTACAGCTTAATGCAAGTTTCACAACTTTATTGAGAGAACATACATGGTATTATAGGACAAAAGATGCTAGAGTTTTTAAAATAAGGGTTGGTTGGTCATAGCATGTACAAAGCTGTAATTTAGCTGTGAGCATCATTCTTGCACTCAAGAAAGAAACACCAGTTCTTTCTGTAATCGCAGAAACCTAAACTTTGTCACTCAGTCAAACATGCTCCCTTAAAACTATGGAAATGCTTATTTTAAATAAGTCTTTGTACTACCATTGCTACTTTGGGTACTGTCATAAACACTGGTTGATGCGTAAACTGGGTGGAAAATGCTAAGGTCACTCGAATATGGAATGTACTTGTTTTCAAACCTGGTTAAGCTCATAAGTAGGAACCTACCAAGTTCATGGTGGAAGTAGAGCGAGTGGTGGCTCCTTTAATCTTGCACGTTCTCCTGTATGCACCTCTCCTGTTGCTGATTAGTGTAGGATCCTGCAGCTCCCTCCTGATCAGCAGGGAAGCTAAAACTGGTTTTAAACATGGTGCCATCTTTGCCTCTCCGCCAGTCAGCAGCAAACAGCAGGGCCATCTGGGGCCCCTCAGCCAATCAGTGGCAGGAGGCAAAAGTGGCACCATATTTAAAACCGCAGTTTTTGCCTTCCCACTGATCAGGAGTGAGCCAAAAGCGGAGCCCCTCCAATCGGCTGGGGGGTGTGTGGGGAACCTGCAAGATTAAAGGAGCCACAGCACATCCCACTTCTGTCATGAATTCGGTAGGTCTCTACTCATAAGATGCAGTTGTAAAGAGACTTTACTTTTGCCCAAGGAGCACAGTTTCCTACAAGTGTCTTGTTGTTTGGTTCTTGAACTTGGCTTGTGACTTGTTGAAGAGATCAGTATCTCTGAAGTGCTACCCAGGGGAGGGTCCAGACTTGTAGTTCCTGTGGAAGCAAAACTCCTGTTGGACCTGATGGGAATTTTTCTGACATAGGAACTTTTGGACTAAGCCCTTGAAATTTTGAGTGCCTAGTCTGTCTGCAGTCTCTGAGAAGGAACTGAACTTGATTTAGTAGCATACAGGGATAAGTAGTTGTGTCAGGCTAGAATTGGCAATATTTGATAAATGGTAAAAATAACCCCATCCCTGTTAAATATGTAGTTACTTTATAAAAGAAACTTATGGGATGTTAATACAATGCCAGCAGAAGTTAACTACTAGTTCAGGTTCCGACAGTGGGCTTATCCCAAACAAAAACATTAAGGTTGAAAGTGTTTCAGTGGAGTCCAGCTAGCAACCAAAACAGTATTACTTTTGTTACACAGCAGTTTTACTGTCCTCTTCTCATCCCTTCCCTGCTTCAGAATGTTAGACTACCTGTTCGTTTAGTAGTCCTCTATTGCTCATCATTGCCCTCCAATACCTACCATATACCCAACTATACCCCCTCTCTTGCCTTGGAAATATTCTAGGTATGTATGGCTGATTCTTATACATTATATGCATATTTCAAGAGGAGTACCAAGGATCCCTTGGCACCCATTTGAATTGTTAGCTTTCAAATGATGTTTTTGGCATGATGCAAAATGGTATGGATGTATGTAAGCATGTATGTGGCTGTTGTGAGGTGCCAATCCTGCAAAAACCTAAGCAGGTGTTTTAATTTGAGTGTATAGTGATTAATTCCATTATTAAAGTTAAATGAGACCTAAGATTATATTTTTCACTATAGGTTGCAGCAACTATTACTGTTTTTAAACATCTAACGTTGTATGTCTTGGTATTAATAGCCTGTTGCAAATTGATCTCAAAAAAAGAATGAACGTCACAGTAATGTAGGAAATTTAGAGACAATTTTCTATCTTTCCTCTTTTGAGCAGAAGTGTTAGTTAGGCAGGCCTGTCTACTGGACCATAGGGTTAATTATGGCAGAACTGTCTCTGATATAATTGAGATCTTATTTCAGTTTAAAAGTTTAATGTTTTAAGTGCTGTAAAATTTACATATTCCCTCCCTTTGCTTGGAAACATGGTATACCAGTAGGGGATTCAAGGTGGAGTTAGTGTTCCTAGTATAGAGACATTTGAGGGAGAAGTTGCTGTGATTGATAGAGCTTTGTGTGCAGTTGCAGATTCAACCAATCATTTTCACACCTGGCGAACTGAGTCCTGTGTCTTACTGAAATAATTTTGCACACAATTATGTCATTTGGGTTTTAATGTTGCCCTTTTCCCACATCCCTGTAGGGAAGAGTTCAGATTGACAGTGAGCAGTATGCTTGTATGCCGCAGATTACCCTGAGTCTGTGCTTGCCAGTGTTCACGTGAGCTGGGTGGCCAAAAGGTGCTTGCCATAGCCATTGAACCTGATCTGCAGTTTTAGTGGGACTTCTGCATGGGAGAGGAGGAAGAGAAGGCCTTTGTTGCTTTGGGAGAGGGTATTGGCCCTGAGGCCTGACTGACACAAGTCAAAGACCCCAGCTGAGTTGGGTGGGGGTGTGGTAGGGACATTTGGCTTGCTTTAGGGAATAGTTTGGACTGCATACCTGAGGAAATGTTCAATCCTTCAGTAGATTGATGGTGATGATACATGTGTGAACTGCATAAGGTGTCAGGGAGCAAGCAGTAATTTATGTCCTAATGAAGTAATGAAATAGGAAAGGTAGGTGAGCAAGCAATAATGGGGATGAGCGCTAGTGAGGTAGGGCTGGGAAAGGGGAGAGAAATGTTTATCTTGATTCATATGTTTTATGAAGTGTG